AAAGTTGGTCTTATAGTGAACACGGCAAAGACAAAGGCAATGAAGATAAATAATTCAGACCCTACCAGTAAACTTAACCTGGACGATACAGAAATCGATAACGTCAACAGCTTCACATACTTAGGCAGTATAATATCGCCGGACGGTGGTGGAGCAGTCCAAAGTCGCATCAATAAGGCATGCTCCGCCTTTTCGTTATTGAATAAAGTTTGGAGCTCTTCAATACTCTTCCAGCACACAAAGCTGCGGTTATTTAACAGTAATGTTAAGAGCGTTCGGATGGGATGGGATTGAACATACAAGGTAAAGTGTCTGATTGCATTAAACATGGTAAATGCCAGCGCGATCCTTGTCAACATTCTCTCCAAGTTGACACACAGCCTCCACGTGGCCCCCCTGGATAGCTACAATCATCCGTGCGTAGTGAACTAATGTGTGCAGCGAAATCCACCTCAGGGATATATAAGGTTATGCGTCGGGCTTGGAACTCACCATTTAAAAAATTCTTTCAATGCAAACGAAGAGGAAGCCTCGGATAAGGAAACGATCTACTGATGACGACAAAAACAAACGTATTAAGGAACGCGATTTAAAAATATGCACCTGGAATGTCCGAACGCTTTACAGAGAAGGTGTATCTATTCAGCTGGTTAATGTCCTCAAGGAATATAAGGCTTGTAAAGGTTGAAATTGGTACGAACTAATTTCAACCATACATATACTTTTGTACAAATCTGACGTCAGTCCGTCAGCAGAAAACGCAACACCAACACCGTTGCGGACAAAATCAGAAACCAACTCACTCTCAACAAAGTTCAGCGTACAACCTGGGAAGGATAAAATTTATTTAAATATTTATCAGGATCATAATACAACAATATTACCTGCATTCCATGCGTCAATGAGCCGCGGGCATGACTGGTAAACAAACCTGAGGAAAATAAAAAAATAATAAAACAACAAAACTAAAACACAACTTGAAATACAAAAAAAATGTAATTAAGTAAGTGAAGAATATACGCACCTTATTTATTCACTATTTATATATATATTTTATTTTTGTTTGTTTTATTAATTTTTGTTTCATCTTTTTTTTATTTATTTATTAATAAATAAATATAAATATTAAAAGCACAAACACGAGCACTATATAAACAAAACACGTTTGTAAACAAGACAAGCTTGAAAGCTTTGGTTGAACTAAATACAAAGCACGACGAATTCAAGAACGCACGAAAACACAAAGCACAGAAATTACACCCAAGCGAACAATAGCAACAAAAGACAACAAGTATCAAAAATACCAACGGCAAATGTACCGATGCACTACAAGAAAAGCTTCGGTCGTTTGAGTATAAATAAACGCGCATTGTACAAGCACGGCAACTTGTCTCTTGGAGATCAACGGATTAACAAGTTCACTGGTCAATTAGATAAAATCCTAGTTTACAGGCTAATTCAGTCTACACTGGTCAGTTCGATCAAAGCAGGCAACTGGTCAATTCGTTCAAATCCTAGTTTACAGGCTAATTCAGTCTACACTGGTCAGTTTGATCAAAGCAGGCAACTGGACAA